AATATTGTTTTTTTTTCAAAGATAAAAGTCACACTTACATTATGTTGGCGATACAATGTAAAATTGTCAATGCTTTCAAATTTTTTATCTAGAAAGAGCTTGTGTTGCCAACATTGGTAGTGAATTTTTGACTTGGGAATTATCTTCAAAAAAGAAACAGACTTTATTTGGAAGAGAGTGCATTCAAGAATGCTTGGCAATAAAGTGCCAGTAATTTATTATGCAAATTTCAAAATTTTCAAGCAGAAAATAGTAATTACTTCTTCTTTACTAATAACTATTACTATTAGCTAGTAAAAAAATTGATAAAATTTTTATTGCAACACTTGATATCCAAAACAGGTACCTATAAATTAGAATTCTGTTGAAAATTATATCGTCTCTCCTTAAAATAAAAATAATTTATTTAACAATAAAGCAAAAAGCTAATTCTGAAATAATGTACCTTATCTTGGAGACAATAAAATGGAGTACTTTTGCCAATTATTTGTACGTTTGAAGTACTATGAAATTTTCGATATTTTTAGGGTTAAATAAGTCATTAGTTAGAAACTTAACAAGAAAAGTTAAGTTTAAACCGCAATAACTCAATAGTTAACATTAGTGTTTCGATAATTTTCAATGCTGATATTTTTGTCAGTGTGTCAGCTTAAAATTTAAAACACGACTTTCAGAAAGGTCCTTGTTATTTTCGTTAATTTTAAATATTTGCCTCATAAGGTAGTGAATTTTATAAAAATTAGAAAAATGAAAATATCGCGAAAACCGTTAAGAATGGTATAGAGGTAAATAGTGTTTAATCGGTAGCAAATAGGCTCTAATTTCATCTCCTCAAAGGAATACGTCCACTTACCAGTCACCCTGTATAATGACTTTCTCTACCGAGGGATGTATAGATTTTTTTTTACTACTGCTGGTAGAAAATAAAAAATAGGTTTGAAACCTGTGCTCAAATTATTTTCTCTTGTCGGAAGTGCTGCCCTCTATCAACAGCTTACGGTAATTTCCTATAATGTACAGTGTCGTCATTTTATCTTGATAACATTTTAAACTGTCATAATTTCTTTATTTTTAAAGTTATTTAAATAAATAAAAAAACATACTATAGGGTTGTTTTCCAAGTTTTAGCTAGGATGGACGAAATACAAAAGATTAATATATTTTGACAGTTATATGCACACAAACTGCATTTTTCTAAATGGAACACCAAGTAAATTTTCAGTTTGTCTGATAATATGTTTCATTCTGATTGCAATAATACAATACAACACATTTGAATGCAATTTACTTCATATTTACATGCAGGAATGTTTTACTTATTCTCATTGAAAATATTATCCACCTACGCAGATTACCTACAAAGGTAGGTAAGTAATCAATATTTTCAATGAGAATAAATAAAACATTTCTGCATGTAAATATGGAGTAAATTGTATTCAATGGTATTGTATTCTATACATTGCAATCAGAATGAAACATATTATCAAATAAACTGAAAATTTACTGGGTGTTCCATTTGAAAGAATGCAGTTTGTGTGCATGACTGCCAAAATATATAAGTCTTTTGTTTTTTGTCGATCCTATCTAAAACTTGGAAAAAAACTCTACAGTATGTTTTTTTATTTATTTAAATAACTTTAAAAATAAAAAAATTATGAAAGTTTGAAATCTTATCAAGATAAAATGACCACACTGTACATACAGGAACCTGTTTTTTTTTAAATTGACAGTTTGACACTGAAATTAAACCAATAGAAACCTGTTACGTTATGACAATATCCTTGCGTCATGACGTCATTTTCATTATTGACCTAGGTATTTTTCCATTATTTTCATTATTAACCTAGGGAAAGAAATTCAATTTTTTCCCAGAAAAATTGATGAAATAATGACTACTTCTCAGGTTAGTAGTAAAAAAAAAATTCTTATTCTTCGCTTTGTAGATAAAAAGTTGTACATCACACGTGCGTTAAACATGACTACAAAACTCGTGTGATTAGAACGACTACGGTCACACTCGTTATTGTAATCATGTTCATAAACGCACTTGTAATGTAAATAACTATTACATAACAAGTGCCTTTATGAACATGAATACAATAACGAGTGTGAAAGATTAGAACGACGAGGTCGTAGACCGAGTCGTTCTAATCACACGAGTTTTGTAGTAATGTTTAAACGCACGTGTGATGTACAACATTTTATCTACAAAGCAAAACATAAGATTTTTTTTTTCAATTTTCGTTTATCAGTAGTTGTCTACCTTCATTTAACCTTAACAGGTTTAACTATGACATTTGTCAAATCACAAAAACTAGTTGTGTTATGGATTCATAACCTAGTCCATAAAACCACTAGTTGTATTATGAATTCATAACCTAGTCCATAACACCACTAGTAGTGTTATGAATTCATAACCTAGTCCATAACACCACTAGTTGTGTTATGAGTATCATGACATAACTCAAATACTAGAAAAGTGGTTATGTAAAAACTTCATTAGGTACCAGACGCTTGTAGAGAATAGTTATTTACATTACAAGTAATTTTATGAACATGATTATAATAACGAGTGTGAAGGATTAGAACGACGAGGTCTACGACCTCGTCGTTCTAATCACACGAGTTTTGTAGTAATATTGTAACGCACGTGTGATGTACAACATTTTATCTACAAAGCAAAACATAAGATTCTTTTTTTCAATTTTCGTTTATCAGTAGTTGTCTACCTTCGTTTTACCTTTGCAGGTTTAACTATGACATTTGTCAAATCACAAAAACTAGTTGTGTTATGGATTCATCACCTAGCCTATAACATCACTAGCTGTGTTATGAATTCATAACCTAGTCCATAACACCACTATTTGTGGTATACGTCTCATGACATAACTCAAATACTAGAAAAGTGGTTATGTAAAAACGTCATTAGGTACCAGACGCTTATAGAGAATAGTTATTTACATTACAAGTAATTTTATGAACATGATTATAATAAGGAGTGTGAAGGATTAGAACGACGAGGACTAAGACCTCGTCGTTCTAATCACACGAGTTTTGTAGTAATGTTGTAACGCACGTGTGATGTACAACATTTTATCTACAAAGCTAAACATAAGAATTTTTTCTCAATTTTCGTTTATTATGCTAGTTTTACACTGACAATTTAAATTGATTAATTTGTTTGTCAATTTATGTTGGCTCAACAATGACTCAACTTCGCTTTACACCATATCAACTTGTTGACAACAGAAATGACAATAAACAATTCTACCAACTTACCAGAATTTCAACACCTAGCTTTAATATTTTCAAAGAGTCATTTCTAGGTTGAAAGCCTGAATTGACACAAAAATTGACGGAAAAATAGAACATGCGCTAATTCGTCAATAAATTGAGCGAGAACTTGGACAAGTTAAATTGCCGCCAATTTGGCGTTTTACATTATCAATATTTCTTGACAAGCAACTTGATCAATAAATTGACCAATAAATTGTCAGTGTAAAACCGTCTTTAGTAGTTGTCTACCTTCATTTTACCTTTACAGGTTTAATTATGATATCTGTCAAATCACCAAAAATAGTTGTGTTATGATTCATAACCTAGTTCATAACACCACTGTTTTGTTATGTGTCTCATGACATAACACAAATACTAGATAAATAGCATTGTACTAAACGAACACTCTGGAACGGGCGCACTGCTTTATGCTAGTGTGCCGAATTTTGATATATGCAACCCAGCAATACAGAGGGATTGTTGTCTCGCTCGCACTCATTGCGTTTAACGTAAAAAAAAGAAGAGCTTCTTCATCTTCCTAACCTTAATGATCCAAACACTTCAAACAGCTGTTCTCAATAGCCGCCATAGTGCAGAGAGAGATGCAAATCCCACTTGTTTGTTGTCCTTCCTGGCACAAACCCTTGCGTAGGGAACATTATGCAGCCACCGTTCCAGTGTGTTCGTTTAGTTCATTGATAAATAAATAAAGTCTGTTTTTTTTTAAAGATAATTCCCCAAGTCAAAAATTTAGTAACTATGTTGGCGCAACACAAGCCTTTTCTACATAAAAAAATTGAAAGCTTTGACAATTTTACATTGTATTGCCAACACAATGTTATTTTGATTTTTATCTTTAAAAAGAAAAACAGATTTTAGTTACGTAAAAACGTCATAACCAAACACTTGTAGATAATAGTTATTTATGCAACAAGTGTGTAAAGTGAACCTTTTTTCACGAATGTGTGAAAAAAGGAGCTTTACGCACGTATTGCATACAAAATTTTTTCTACTACCAATCAAATATGTTCAAAAAATAGATTCAGACAAATATGTACAAGTATTTTCACTTTACGCACTAGTGTGTGAAGTAATTTACCAGAAAAATACTAAATTGACAGTTGTCAACATCTGTCATTGACATTACTTTACGCACTAGTGTGTGAAGTGAGTTACTTTACGCACTAGTGCGTGAAGTGGAATTTTACATCTTCTGAATAGTGCGTAAAGTGAGTACTTTACGCACGGTAGTAGATAAAAGTAATTGTACAATTTGACCGAAAAACACTGATATAATAGTAGATTATACCACGAGTCAATAATGATAGCTATTATTCCCGAGGGTTATTACGAACTGAGCCGCGTTAGCGGCGAGGGAGTAACATTCCGAGGGAATAATAGCCATTATTGCGAGTAGTATACTCTACTTTATTTACGACAAATTAATTTATTTGAGATTTTCAATGAACAAATTTCATCCGTCTCATAATTTTCAATACAAATCCACAAGCGCTACACGTTTGACACTGACACTTTTGTGGAATAATGACCATTAATCCCGCTACTCGTCATTAATCCCTGGAGGAATAACATATGTCATTATACTGCCAAAATCACAAATATAATACGCACATTATACATTAGTCGTAAATAAATATCAATAAAAGGCCAATTTTGTCTAATAACACGTGCAATAAAAAAATCAATTTCTCTTCAAATTGTAGCCCGGTTTCCGGTCGGTCAAAACATAGCGACGACGTGGACAACGAAGCCACCGTCCACTTACGAGGACATCGATTCAGATTTTCCGTACGCGATTCGTAAATGGTTCGACGAATACAAACTGTTCAGTTTCGGAGGAATCGGACGAGGAAGGACCGGTCATTACACACAGGTACGGATTATTGCTTTATTTAACGAGAGTTTGTGTAGGATAAGGATAAACTATGATGATCTGCACGTATATTGGTACTAGGATTTTCTCATGGCGCTTGCAAGAACGTATTCATAAAAAAACTTCCTCATTGGAAATCGAGAGAAACGCAAAGTCTTGCTCCACACACATTTTTTAATTGAAAATTACAGAGCCCTACATGTTTCGAAGCTATACTTAGAGCATCATCATCAGATGCAAGTTTGCTCAATATCACTTATACAGTTTACATTATTTATTTAAAGCCGCTGAACTCATTAGCATTCGGTAGAGAAAAAACAGAAAGTTAAAGAGTTTGAGAATTGAATTTTTATGTTTAATTCGTAAGATCTCAAAGACTGTAGTTCAAACTCGTCTTTTTTGTCTTCGCATCGACTCCCTTTTCGGTTCTGTTTGGTTTGTTGGTGTTTCAGACTGAGTTTTATCACATACCATGCTGCAATGCTAATGCTGATTATCTCAATAGTAGTGAACGGTTACGGAATGATGATGAATATTCCGCCATACTGTGCTGTCCAACTGTGCATTCAAATTCTTCTCGTCGTCTTCCAACTCTTTCAGGTTGTCAGTTAGTCTGAAAACTGCAAATCGTGTTCTTAAAGTTCGTAATATAGGTACTTGAGTGTTGTAATCAATCGCAATATATCCATCTGAAAGGTTCTGAGTCCAATAGGTACAATTTCCAGATTCTAAAGGTACTGGTGTGCCTTGTATCAACTCGAATTCAGTAACATCTGCAATGGGGAAATATGCGAATATCTGAATGTGTGTCTTATTGGCAGTCAACTTTGTCGTTGTGGCGTAATCTTCAGATTACTTGAAAACTTCTGACTGGTTTTTTCAATGATAGAGTGCACATACGCTGGTGAGATTAAATCGTATATTATGGGTCCTCTGTTCAAATGTATATTTAGTAATTTATCGTAGTATTCGCTGATTTCGCTTAGAAAATTTAGTGCCACTTGATGAAAAGGGGGATATGTAATACATTGGTAATGATTTGGTGGTACCAGCTTTACATTTACTTGATAACTTCAATAAATCTTTCTTGAAAATGTTGTAGTTTAGTGTTTATTTTGACTTTGGTCTCGTTGAACTTTGCAAGGGCTGAAATCATGAACTTGGTTTGATGACTGGATGCTTTGATTAACTGTGGTTGATTTTGATTTAGCGCATCTATATCTTCATACACTTCATCATTGACGCCAAAAACTGCGGTTAAACATTTTCCAAATAATCCTCTTTTCCTTCTTTGGTCATGGACGCTGTTGAGAGTGCCATATACCCACTTGGTGTGATTTTCCAATTGTTCTAAATGGTGTAATAATGAAGTACATTTTACTTCATTTGTAATTTCGATTGACCTGTTACACAGAGTTTCAAACTGACGAACACATTCGATATTGCTATATTGTCTGCTTGGCTTCTATTTTTTGAGTGTACTTTTCATGCAGTAAATACCTCGATCGATTCTCGATGATCCGATATTCTCTACGTATATTCCATGATGAGGTTAGTTAGTTAGTTCTGAAACTGCTTTCTGTCGTGATAGTGGAAATACATATAAGGAAGGCTAGCTAGTAGGAGATTTAGTAACAGTGATTTGAACGATGTCTGGGTTCTAGTGTTTCTAGTTATTGGCGTTAGGTCACTTGTTGCTGAGTAGTTGGTAATTTTTGAAGCAAATGGAATTAGTTTATGAATCGGCCTTTTCGTCATGGTGCCTCCTGCTTTCTTTATTCTAACTAACCCGAACTGCACCATCCTCTTCTGGGTGGATTTCAGCGATCCGTGCCAGCGGCACTATACTCGTAAGTTTTCACTTTGGCTTTTCCATTCATATCTCTGATGTAGAATGTTGTACACCAAGCATGCTAGAAGTTTTTCTTAAGTTCTGTACTTCAGGCGATTTCGCCTCAATTTGGTCTGTCAAACAGGTACCAATCAATTTCGGATGGGAGAATGATGCCATCACGGCAACTTTGGTCTGTCAAATGCTATACCGCGATTTGTAACTGGGTATAGTGGAAGTCTAGTAGCTTTCTGTCTCACTTTGAAGCACAATAATTCAATTCTAAATAAACATGTCTAAATCAAACTGTACCAAATACCCTACGCATTGAATTCGGATGAGATTGTTGAGCTATGTTGCTCACTCACCAATTGGTTAACCAGTCGCCTACCAAACAGCAGATTATAATCTGGGGCGAAATCGCCTTCGGTTTGCGAATTGTTTTGATGCTTCTACAAATATCGTTCCATTATCGCTGTAAACATTTGCGCATTGGCCTCTTCTAGCGAAAAATCTTCGGAATGCCGCTAGTGGCATAGTCTACTCCCGAATTCATAAACGGAGGTGCTGGTGTAACTCTAACTTGCGGTTATTGTCCCATCAGTTGCTCTGCTGCTCTTGCTTTGTGTTGGATGCACATGATGCAGTTTTTTGGGCGTCTGCGATTAATAATTTGGTGACATGACTATGATAATAGGATAATTGTGATCCTTGGTAGATCAAGATTCCCAAAGGCGGTGGCCAACTTTGAGTTTGGACTTGTACGAGAGCTGTTCCTAGTAAAACATTTTCCTCCTCTTGGCTGCAAGCAAGATTTGTCGTAGTGTTTTGTTGCTGTTGGAATTGTTCACCTGTTCTTCTTTGGTAGGTATTCTGCGAGGTGCTGTTTTGATCTTCGTTGGTAATCGTTTGTTCGTTGATGATTTTGATGATTTCTGTCAACATGCAAAAGTGTGTGATGTTGACGGCTGCAAATATTACATTTTGTTTGGCTGGAGCAATTCTTCTGAAAATTGTGGCTTAAACAGTTTTGGCAGATGTGCCTCTTCTGCACCCATTTGCCTCTCTCTTGTGATGACATGGCTTTAAACTTTTGGCAGTGGTAGGTCATATGATTTTGTTCATGACAGTACAAGCACTTTGACTGACTGGATTTGTTCTCCGTGGTAGAAACTGATTCTAATGATTGAAACCTCCTTTCTAAGAAATTCATACATTCTTCGAAATCTTTGCGAATCACCATGGGCTCCCATGTATCAGTCTCTATCTCAAGATTCTTCAAGGCTTGCAGGCACTCGCTAGTGACGTCGTATAATTGTTTCAGCTTCATTGCATTTTCTTCGAGAACGCTTGGCAAGTCCAATAATTTATCCAAAAGCTTGAAGATGAGGAGTCTCTCGTTTTTAAATTGTTCCTGTAATAATTCCAATGCTGAATCGTAATCAACTTCGATCGCTTCTAGATGTTGGATCAGTTTGCTTGTTTGTGCTCTTGCGTACGTGTTTAAATACTGCATTTTTTCGGCTTTGGTCAGCACGTGACTCTCATGGATTACTCTTTTGAAAAGATCGTGAAATGTGGACCAATTCTCGTATCTTCCGTGGAAAGAGTAGGAGGTTTATGGGCATTTTGGACCAAAACAGAGACTAGACAAAGAGACACTCCCCCTACCATTCAAGATACAACTATACCTTTACCCTGGATCCCCCTACCCTACCACTCAAGATACAACCCTCCTCCTACCGCGGCCTGTATCCCCCTACCGGTCACTCAAGATACTACACACAACTATCCCCCTACCCCAGCCCTGCATCCCCCTATCGCGCCCTTTATTCCCCTACCTTTCAAGATACTACACATAACCATCCCCCTTCGTTTTATGCTGGTTTTGTGCTGAGGTTTGCTGGTTTTGTGCTGAATTTTTCTGGTTTTGTTCTGGATTTCGTTAGTTTTGTTCTGGATATTGCTGGTTTTATGCTGGTTTAGCTAGTTTTGTACTGGTTTTTACTAGTTTCGTGCTGCTTTCACTGGTTTCGTGCTGGTTTTGTTCTGAATTTTGCTGGTTTTGTGCTGATTCACCTGGTTTTATGCTGGTTTTCATCTGACTTGAAAGGAGGATTGCTTGAGATCGAAATTAGGGGAATAATAACAGGAAAATTGCGGTGGAGGGCTATTTGAGGTATTTTTTTGGGTGCGAGTTAGCGGGGGGAGATACAGAGCTGAGGTAGGGGGATGGTTGTGTGTAGTATGTTGAGTGACCGGTAGAGGGATACAGGGTAGAGGGATGGCTGTATCTTGAGTAGTAGGGGGAGTGTCTTTGTCTCGTCCCTGTTTTGGTCCAGAATGCGTATAAAGTACTTACTGAAAAAGTGCTGCTTTCACTGGTTCCGTGCTGGTTTTGTTCTGAATTTTGCTGGTTTTGTGCTGCTTCAGCTGGTTTTCTGCTGGTTTTCATCTAACTTGGAAGGGGGATTGCTTGAGATCGAAATTAGGGGAAATATTACAGGAAAATTGCAGTGGAGGGATATTTGAGGTATCTTTTGAGTGCGAGATAGGGGGAGGGATACAGGGCTGAGGTAGGGGAATGGTTGTGTGTAGTATCTTGAGTGACCGGTAGGGGAAAACAGGGTAGGGGGATGGTTGTATTTTGAGTAGTAAGGGGAGTGTCTCTTTGTCTGGTCTCTGTTTTGGTCCAGAATGCCTATAAAGTACTTACATATGTAGTGTTGATTTCACTAATTTCGTGCTGGTTTTGTTCTGAATTTTGCTGCTGGCTTAGCTGGTTTTCTGCTGGTTTTCATCTGACTTGGAAGGGGGATTGCTTGTGATCGAAGGGAGATAATACAGAAAAATTGCGGTGGAGGGATATTTGAGGTATTTTTTTGAGTGCGAGATAGAAGGGTGGGATACAGAGCTGAGGTAGGGGGATGGTTGTGTGTAGTATCATGAGTGACCGGTAGAGGGATACAGGGTAGGAGGATGGTTATATCTTGAGTAGTAGGGGGAGTGTCTCTTTGTCAGTTTTGGTCCAGAATGCCTATAAACTACCTACTGGAAAGTTGGAACCGGAATCTTGGGAATTGATAGATGTTGATGGTGTTGATTAACCATTACTTGGGGAGCTGGAGTAAGTGCGTCTTCTTGTATTTTGATTATTAGTTTTTCATTGATATCTTCGAACTGCTGCTGCATTTCATTGCATGGATTTTTAGTAAAGTATTCATTCTGAAATATATCTTCAGACATCATTATTTCTTCATGTAGGTCTTGAATGGCGCTCTATTGTTTTTTAATTTTTTCTAGCTGTAGCTGATAGCGAGACTTCAATTTTTCTTCAATTAGCTCGAATTTGATTTGGTTCAAATTTTCCTCTAGCTGTTGAAGTTTGAAGTTCTGATTATTTAAATGTTGATATTGAATGGTGTTTGTTGAAGTCTAACCAGCAGGTGGTCGAATGGTTGTGGCTATAGTACAATTTTTCAAGTAGTTCTTTGCTTCTTCATATTTATCTTTCAACTGTTGAAAGTAGTTTTTGCTGAAGTGAGTGTACTCTGGCATTCCAGATTTAATAATTTTTTCATCCCTAGCTTGAATTTTTTTCCCATTTTTTTTTCTAGTGTAGCAGTGCGTTCGTCAATGTATGTTTCAGTTTTTCTTGACGCAGAATCATTCTTGGCATTGCTGAGAAGATGAACGATTTTCATTCTCAGAATTTTTGTACTGGACGGACCGAGGGACATAGTTGTCTCTTGGGTTCTTACAAACAGGCGGATGGATTGTGTGGACGGAATTTCTTTGGTCAAACGGCTGTTCGGATAGACGTTTGGTCGACCGGTAGTTTGGTGGAAGAATTTTGCTTCCCCTGGAAGGATGTCGATTTCTGTTTGGATGACTATGTGGACGCATTGTGGTGTGGACGCTTTGACGTATAGTCTGACGGATGGGTGGTCAATCCATAAGCGGAACACACTGTATTTACGTCAAATCTTGAAAATCTGAAGAAAAAAGAAAAAGCAATTTGTTTAAAATTTTATTTATTTTTTTGGGGTGGCTACAGGTAGAAAATGGGGGTGCATTATACGAATTCGTAAATATCATTCCTAAATCAATAATCCCTGAAAATTTGAACAGCCTAGCATTAGCGCTTCAGATGATTTGGAAGGGGGTTGTTTTAATTTCAACACCCTGTATTTTGGAAACGACGCACTTTCGACCATCAGTGTCCTATTTCAAACTACTTCTCTATGGTTCCTCTATATACCCTACCCCAGCATTTTTGAACGGGGACACCTTGTAGATTACTATTCCATATCGAGAATTATTGGTAAAATTAAATTGGAATCATCTGATTACTATGTTTTTCTTGAATGAGGGGTTTCTCTCACATTTTGTGCCATCATACGGTTATGAATTTAGAGTCGTTCGAATCTCCAGATAACTTTTTGGAAATAAGATCATGAGGTTATGGATAAGGTCAAATTTCATCCATAACACAGAAAAAGTAAGGGATGTTTAAAAAAGGTTGGGGCAAGTTCGAGTTGGAGAAATCATCATTTATTGATTGATCCAAATAATGTAAAAAGTTTCTTCACAACATTACACAATCTACCGATTTCTCAAAACTGCATAAAGCCAAGTTAATGTGTTATGTTGTGAGAATGAGGCTAACAAAAATGCCATAGGTTCATACTTTTTTCTGCTTTATTTTATTTAAAAATTTAAATATTACCATAACAAGAAGCAAAAATTAAGAGTTGACTTTTCCCTCGCTGCTAGCTCTTAGACCAAAAAGTGTCACCACAACTAGAAGTTCTCCAATAGTTTACAAACTCTACTTCTTGCAATTAAACCACACTTGCTCCAGTTGCCCTAATATTTTGTCTTTTCCAGATGTTATGGGCAGAGACCAACTTGATCGGTTGCGGCTTTGCTTTCTATTACGACCCGTCCAAGGGCTACACGAAAAACTACGTGTGTAACTACGGCCCCAGGTGAATATTTCATTTTTTTTTACAAACTTTATTACGCCTTAAACCGGAGACAGTATAATTTTATACGTAAGTGCCTACGTTACAACCCTCAAACTTTACGGTGGGGACGGACGGCTTTTCAGATAGGAACGTATTAAAATTAGCTCATAAAATTTGATGGCAAAGATTTTCCTAAAAGGTTGGATAATGTTATGCTTCTGCTTATTATAATAAAAAGTAAGGGAATTTTGTTAAACAATGAGGCATTTGAATATACAGTCTAGACTTGTAATGTATAAAATCATTTTCGACTGAGTCTGTGCTTTTGTTGGATCCTAATGAATTCCATTTCAATTACAGTGGCAACGTTCTGGGTCAGACGCCTTATGAAAAGGGTTATCCAAGCTGTAATCAATATGGGCTGACTGAATCCAGCCAGTATTCAGGCCTCTGTTGTAAGTTTACAATTTTTTAACATACAATTTCATGCTCATAAAATATTTAAAAGAAACGAAACATTATTATGAAGGTGGAACAGGGATTGCATCCCAAACACTATAAAGCACTTAACCCGACATTAATTTCTCGTTTTGTTCCTGCAGCTAAGCCCAGCAACTACTATTTTGGAATTTCAAATTTCATTGTGGACAGATTCTCGCATAGGATCAACATAAATTATCAGCACTAGTGAATGTTTAACTATTTAAAATGTACCTAGGCGTCTAATGTGTTTTATGTGTTGTTGTTTTTTTTTAGACTGGATTTAATTTATTATTTGTTTATTCGCCAGAAATCATTCGAATAAAAAGTGAATGCGCTTATTGTAAATATATGATTAACATTCGTAGAATGTATATTTGAAAATTGCTATTATTTTGTAATTGAATTAGTATTATAGATTTAAGTTTTAGGTGTTAATAAAATTATATATTTTTTTGAAATAAATTATATTTTTTTACTATGGTTGTTTTGTCTGATGATGTTGCAGCCCTCTCTTGAGCTATACGTGTAATGATGATCCATAAGTGTGGAAAATTTCTGGATTTTTCGTAGATCGATACAAAGGTACTGCGTGCTGTTGCCATCTATTCTCCAAGAGTTGAAACACAACGTTAAATCAATATATAGTAACATAGAGCGCGGCTTCATTTATAAGCTGGCTTTAGATTTTTTTCCAGAGATAGTGTAGTGAGATGGTTTTCCTAAAATCGATTTGTCTTAAATATTTTTGGCTAGAAAATAACGTTTCTTTTCATAAACATTATTATAACGATAATAAGCACACTTGTAACATCACGATGTTCCTGAACCTGAAGATGAACCCATAAAATACCGGAAAGACATTGAAAGCAGGGTGTTTTTAAATAAAATGACTCGTAATGAGAATTTTAGAACTGCCGTGTTTATTTTACGTGAAAATCATAATAACAAAAAATGCGAACGAAGGGATGGTTCCCGACGATACTGCTTGTCCTCGTTCAGAGCGTTAACATTAATTTACCAAACATGCCCCCCGCCTTGAAAGGATCCCTTTCAAAAAACATAGGTGAGGCTTTTATTACATATTTAAATGGGCAAAATGATACATACGATTAATTGATACCTTATATCTGGATTATTCTGGATTACACATCACTAAGCTAAATTCCACTTGACCCAACTCCTGACGCTCACACATTGTCCATTTCTTCGGATTCGATGAGAAGAGGGCACAGTTTGGAAGACGCTCTTTTAAGAAGCCCACCTGCAGTGCGTATTGTGGCTACTCTAGTAACATTATCAGGACCAGGATAAATAATAACAATTCGACCTAATTTCCAAGCTAATGGAGGAGCCTGGTCGTCTTCAACCAACACCAACGTATTCACCTTTAATGTCTGATCGTTAGTTTTTCACTTAACGCGGTGCTGCAATTCTTGTAAATATTCTGTAGATCAGCGTTGCCAGAAAACTTGCTGGATTTGTTGAATCCTTTCAATCCTTTGGTATCTGGAAAGCCTATTTTCATTTATATCCATTACATTTGGATCTGGTAACGACGTCAATCTTCTGCCAATTAAGAAATGTGCGGGTGTAAGGGCATCAAAATCAGAGGAATCAGTGGATAATGGGACCAGTGGGCGAGAGTTGAGGATTGCTTCAATCTGTGTAAGCAGTGTCGTCATCTCTTCAAAGGTTAATTTTATGTTTACCGGTAAAATGCGCTTCAAATGAAACATGAAAGTCTTTACCCCTACTTCCCATAGACCCCCGAAATGTAGAGCGTGCACAGGTATGAAAGACCATTGAACGGCTTCATTCGAAAATGATTTTATAAGATCTGCCTCATTGCCTTCCAAAAACTTTCCTCAATTGGTGCCTGAAATGGGCCAATAGGATTCTCTTATCGAGGAAAGTAACAGCTTAGGACCAGCATGACATAATCGTAAATGTTCGTCACGAAACAGTATTCGTGTAATGAAATGGTTCGAAGAAAGAAGCATTGGGTGCTTCTGATTATATGGAACATTTGATAACTGCAAACGACCTCCTACTCTTATTATCCCTTCCAAATCTAAAAACGGATTAAGATTACTGTTCCTTGGTAACATTTTTTCTTGTTTTAAAAGGTTTAACTCGGTGAAAAAAGATTCGCGTTAAATAATTTTAACTAAACAACTTGTGGCTTGCTCTAACTCGTTAGGTAATAAAGGACCATCAAAAGGATCAATTTTGTTTCTTATATTATGTAGAAACCTAAGGCAATAGGCATACACCTGTTGCAGTTTCCTAAATCTGGAAAATTTTTGAAACTCCGTGAAAGGTTCGATATATGTGGAGACAATATGCAACAGTTGGTTTTCTCTTTTCCGGAAGTGGATCTTGTAATGAAAACTGTTCTTCCGGCCAGGACTCTTGGGGTTCACTCAACCATTTTGAACCATGAAACCACAAAATATTAATAATCAATTTACTAGGAAAAACACCACGTCGGCAGAATTTTTGTCAGTTTTTATGTAATGCCATTGATCAGGAGCTGCCAAGGATTGAATTTGTGAAATTCGATTGGCGACGAATATTTGGTACTGATTTGCTGGGGAACGAATCCAGCTAAGAGCAACCGTCGAATCTAACCAAAGCACCGCTTTGTTAAATTTAAATTCGAAACTTGACTGAACCTTGTTGACTAACTGGGCCAAAACAAGAGCTCCACATAATTCAAGTTTTGGAACCGTTAAGGCTTTAATAGGAGCAACCTTGCTCTTAGAACATGCAAGGTTAACATCAGTTTCTCCACTACGAACATAGACGGCACCCCCATATGCTTTCAGCGAGGCATCCGCAAATCCATGCAGCTCTCGAGATGCAGGATCGTTACGTAGAACACGACGTGGAATCGTCAAGGAATTCAAAAGTGGTAATTCTTCTCGAAAATGCAACCAAAGTGTTATCAAAACTGGAGGAATCTCATCATCCCAGGATAAATTTTCCAACCAAAGACCCTGAAGCAAAGATTTCGCAATAATTATACACGGACTTGCAAGACCCAAGGGGTCAAATATCTGCGCTATATCTGAAAGAATACTTCTCTTGCTAACAAGTCTGGGTTCAAGATTCCCGACTTTAAACATTAGCATATCTTCCCTACTATCCCAATACAAACAAAGAGTTTTAGACTGACTCTGTTCACCAAATTCCCTAATATTCGAGCTATCACCCAAATTCAATTTTTTCATAAAAATTAAAGACACTTTCGGAGTTAGAATTCCATTTTCTTAACTCAAGATTTCAAGATGGTGAAAACGTCACGACATATTTCCCTCGCTTCCGTTTCGGAACCAGCCTCTGAGAGTAAATCATCCATATAAAACCCATTGGAAATTATCTGCGAAGCCCTTGGATGTGTCTCCGCACTTCGAAGTGCGAGTTGTTTTAAGCACCTAACTGCTAAAAAAGGACTAGAGGTCAAACCGGTTACAGTGTTTAACGTGTAGGTAACTAGCTCGTCAGAAGGACTAAACCTCCATAAAATACGCAAGAGATCTCGTTGGTTTTCCTTGACAAATATTTGAAGAAACATTTTGGAAGTATCAGCAGAAATGACAACCCTATAAGCCCTAAAACGAATCAAAATTGACCGCAGGTAATCCTGCAACTGTGGACCAACGAGCTGCAAGTGATTTAGAGTAGTGATGCCGCGAGACTCGAGACTGGTCTCGTCTCGTCTCGTCTCGTCTCGACTTTTCGAGACGAGACTGCCTTTTGGTCTCATCTCGTGAAGTCTCGACGAGACGAGACCAGACTCGGCGAGAGTCTCGCGTAGTCTCGAGTCTCGAGATTACAATTAATTTTTTTTTTCATAGCTTTATTATTGGTTCATTTTATTCATAGCCCAGGCTTTTTGAATATAAAATCGGTAAATTTCAATACTAATAATAATTATAGACTGTGAGATAGGGGCTGTTTAGTGGAGTCATTTTTTTTTGTCTGGCACTTTGAGGGCTGAATCTAATCGGCCGACCAAAATTTTGGTCGGCCGATTAGATAGTCAATCACTAAATTACAGCAAAAATTGCTGTTTAGTGTTGAATCTTTGTCTTAGATGGCGCCACGATCAAATTTCGAAATTGATAAATAATTCATCTATGAAAAATATCAAAGGCTTTTCAATAGCTGAAAAAATGGTGATGGGTGTCAACTTCCAAGAGAAAAGGAAAGAACCTTCCGCGTTTACTTTTTGTCTGGCAATCGAGAGAATGAAAGGTTTTGTTGTGAAAATAACGTTGAAAAATCGCCAGACGGTAATCATAGTTCGAAATCGAGTTTTCCGGCGAAACATTCTGTGGACATTTCGAACACATGGCAGGCATTAAAACCACTTATATTCTCATCAGCTAACTAGTCACATTCATCCCTCAAAATGCCAGACAAAAAAAATGACTCCACTAAACAGGCCCTATCTCAGGGTCTATATCTCAGGGTCTATTAATGGAATGATTTCTACATACCTACTCAATTTTTAGATTCCACTTTCGGTTTAGCCGTAGTGAGATCAATTTGAAAAAATGTTTAAGGCATAAGCACTTCCGGTTAAACTGGAAGTGAGATCTGAAGATAAAGTATCTAGAAAATATACTAATAATTCACAAAAAAATTACAGGGTGATTCTTTTTTCAAAAACTGTTTTGTCCGACATTTTTTTTTTTTTTTAGTTGACGTTCATATTTTTTTTCAAATATCACGGTTACTCTTTACTGTGATTTTTCACTCTTTAAATAACTGCTTTTTCACTGTGGCAGTTTGGACGTCCGTTATAATATAAAAATAAAAACCAAAAATACTGGGTGTCCGAAAAATAGCGTAAAAGCTCTCCACGTAGTACGAGACCCTTTGAGAACCCCTAGAAAAATAGAAAAATAATTGAAAAAATCCTTCTCCAGCATTATTTTTGGTAATATGAAGAGGTAATGTGGAAATTCTCCTTCAAATTCTACAGGTAATTACATAAGTGTAATTTAATTATCTGACATAATGTTAACAGGATATTTTCAGTGTTGCCAATTTTAATAAATATTAAAATGCAAATAACTTTCTTAAGAATGCCGCTAGATTTTTTAAATTATTTTTCTGGGGTTCCTTGAAGGGTCCTCCACCACGTACCTAGTGAAGAGTTTTTACGCTTTTTTCCGGACACCCCGTATAACTCGAGACTAGGGGCCTTATTCTGTGAAGAACGAACCGTTCGATTCGGTAGAATTTCTTCGATTGTGACGTCATTTTCGGTTTGGTTTTCCCGCTACCAAACCGAAAATGACGTCACAATCGAAGAAATTCTACCGAATCGAACGGCTCGTTCCTTACAGAATAAGGCCCCAGACGAGACCACTCGAGACGACACGAAACCTTAATACTCGAGACCGAGACTAAGTCATGGTCTCGTCTCGAAATGTCGAGACGAGACGAGACCAACCTCAAGTCTCGTCTAGTCTCGTCTCGCGGCACCACTAATTTAGAGGGAAACCACTGTCGGCAGAACACGAACCGTCGAAAACTACCCTCAGTGGCGTGGTACTACTATTTGCATTGATGAGGCCATGATGACATAGGTAGTATGATATAACCTCATCAGTATTCTTTAATGGTGACATGTATTCCGCTTTTTCAAAATCGGTCATGAATTTGTGATATTCTTGTTTCAACTGCGCATTTTTTTCTAGCTCATTTTCCAATAAATAAAACTTCTCTAATGTTTTGGTTCAATTTAATTCACGTCACTAGGAGGATTTTGTTTGCACGAGTCTGATGATGACGCAGCTGTCGAAACAATATGCAAAAGCGTGTTGTGTCTTTTCCCACAAGTTCTACATGAACTTGTAGTATAGTTAAAACTAGAATGATTAGGTTTTAAACAGTGATGTAGAGATTTCATGTTTGCAATTCTGTCTGAAATCGAAAGTGCCAAAAATCTCCCACATTTTGACACGGTATGTGTGCCTTGACAAAGTTCACACTTTGAAGTAACATTGGCGGTAGTGAAAGATTTACTTCTATGGTGGAAATTATCCCTACCTTTTGGTTTCGAAATGGTTTGATTTAAATCGAGGGTTTCAAGAAGGTCAGCTCTGCTCCTCAAAAATTCGTTAAAATCCTGCAAAGTCGGCAATTCATTTTTTCCTTTTTCCCGAGTGCCCTCAAATGTTTACCTAGCGTATCGATGAGCTTCCTTAACTCAGAAGCAGATTCATAAGCTATCGGTGTGATGTCATGAATAGCCTTCATGTGGTTGTGTACCAACAACCTCGTATTATTAAATCTTTGACATAAAAGCTCCCAAGCTATGGAGTGATTCAAAGATGAAAATTCCAGAGATTCTATAATTTGTTTAGCAGAGCCTTCCAAGACTGCCCGTAAATAATGAAATTTTTGAATCTGATGTGGAATACGGCTATCACTATGCACTAGTGATTGAAACATCTCCCTGAATTCCATCCACGTTTGATAATCCTCAGAGAATTTAGGCAACGGAATTTTAGGCAAATGAACGTTAAATTCACCAAAAAACGGTAAACGGGCTTTCAAGTTTCCTCGTTGTTTATTTAGTTTGATTATTTCCTCTGGGGACATTTTGTACAAAATTTAATATCAAAATACACAGAAATTTATTAATAAATCGGATAGATAAAATGGATAATTTTACACATTAAAACAATCTACAACATACCATACCCTAACCAACAAAGGATACCTACCAGATAAAAAGGATACCTACACACTTACATAAATTCCAGTGGCTAAATATTTTTACCTAGATTCTAATATTTCCGATGTTCTTCTATCATTTACAGTCGAAGCACCAACGCAAATTTGTCTTTGTTGCTTGTCGATACAAATTCAATGTGGTCGAATGTGTACCTTCTTTGAACATCGCCGCAGGCCGTGCTATGGGAAGTTCTCGCGTGAATTTTACAAGTTTGCAATTAAAAATCACTCAAAGGAGTGAAGTTTTTCACTTTTTGCTCGAAAGACCATAATGTTTTTAAATAGAACGACTCGTGATGAGAATTTTAGAACTGCGTGTTGATTTACGTGAAAATCAAAATAACAAAAAATGCGAACGAAGGGATGGTTCCCGACGATACTGCTTGTGCTCGTTCACTGTTCACAGCATTGTTCGCCTACTGCCCAGCAGTTACAATATAAATTAAGTCCTTATCTCAAGGTGTAAGCATGTGCACTAGCTCAAATAATTTACCAAACACAGGGCTAAAGTAATTTGAGGCTTGAATTGTGGGGATCAAGTTCGAAACTTCGAGTTTTGGCATCTTTTATAATGGATAATCAAGGAAATTGCGACATCTCTGATCGAACAAGTAATTATATTTCTTAGAAATAGCATGAGAGGAATTCAGGTCAATGTATCGAAATCAGTCTACAGTCGACAGTCATCGAAGATTAAGAGTAGACAATACATAGTGGTCATTAGACAGTACAAAAGTTGAATCTTTGCCTCGAACCAGGTTTAACTTCGCTCCCAGAATCGAATCTTCTCTGTGAAAAATTCGAAAAATTAAGAAGGCAGGGAAAGAATTATCATTTGACGGTCGCGAATCAAAAAGTTTGAAGAATATTTAAGAATGTTGAACTAAATACATAAGCATTTTCTAAGATCGGTAGAGTTTGAGGGTACTTATGGCCCTTATAAGTTGAAAATGTAGGTAATAGAATTTGCTTCGAACTTTGAAAGGTGAATTTCAAATTTGAAGCTTTATAACTTTGGAATGGTAACAGTTAGATATTGAATTAGATCGTTTTGTAGCCAATTTAATCCTCTTTCGAATGAAACATGATTTATTGAAATAGGTCCAGACATTCCAGAGTTATGGTCTATTTAATGGGGCCATGTCAAGTTGGGAAATTCGAAATACAATTTTGGAATTTTTTTTTGGATTTTTTTCCTGTGTAAGAAAGCCTCAAACGAGAAAATGCTAGGAGACATTTCCTGTTTAATTTAGCCCCTCTACTCGAAAAAAAATTAGTTTTGGGATCCCCTCTACAAAATGGCTACACCTTGAAACTCCGAACTACGAAATTTTCTAAGTGCCTTTTTTCATAGAATCGGGCTCCAAATCGGGAAATAATCTAGTGTATGGAGTTTGGTGGATTCCGATGGATCATAAAGACACAAAAATTCAACAAAAAAAAAATTGAAATTTCATCGTTTTTGTAAGAAGGTAGCTATATAGTTTTTGGAAAACTTTGAAAGGTCATAGTTTTCTTTCTATTATAGATAGAAAGCTAAAAAATTTCCAGCGATTCTTAGCACAGTAGAGTAGTGCTCTACTTAGCCCAGTAGAGCACTACAATCTCTGAAAACTTCAGCTCATTTGGACTTATAGTTCCTGAGATAAAATCGTGTTAAGCAATTCGGGGTGATTTATCAATTTTTCAATTTTTCTGAGTGCCTTTTTCAATAGAATTCGGCTTCAAATCTGAGAATAATTTAGTTTATGTCATACCAATACATTATTGTGTTTTTATACCTTAGATACCATCTACATAATTCATTACTTTACGCACGTGCGGGCATAAAGTACACATTATGGCCCGCGCGGGATAAAGACGCAAAAAACAGTTTTCAATTAACTTATTCTTTATTAACAAAATATAAATTTACGCTTATAAACATATTATTTTTGTCAAAAAATGATGATTCTGCACACTGATGACAATTTGCGAAGTGACACTTTTTTCCCAGGTATTTATTATTCACAACCAACTGGTATAACATAAAAGTTTGTATGCACCACGGGTACTAATAGATATATATATATACCCTCGGGCGACTTACGAACCCCTCGGCTTTGTAAGACTGTCGCCCTCAGGGCATAATCATCTACTTAGTACCCTTCATACATAAATAACTATTATGGAGTTTGGGGGATCCCAAATCATCATTGGGACATAAAATCTCAACAACTCCTCAACCTTCCCTGTTAGTATGAATTTAATCCTATTTACAATTTTTCATATTTTCGTATGGTTCTCCATTTGTAGGTCGATTGAGTGTACGCCACTGATATTTTCCTGTTTCTGACTACCCCTTCAACCTTTCCATGTTAGTATGAATTCAATCCTATGTACAGTTTTTGAATAATCATAGAGTTTCCCATGTGGGTACAGTTTTTGAATAATCATACAGTTTTGTATATTTTTGTATGGTTCTCCATGTAATGTAGGGAAAAAGGAAAAAGGAAAAAGGAATGAAGAATAGAGAAATATTGAGTGATTTTAAACAGACTGACAAATATATTTAGCACAAGAATTGGTACAAAAAAATTATAATTTTTCAGAATTTAAATCATCCAGAAGTCTCGTTTGTTTTGTATGGTTTAGCACCAACCAAATTTCCTCTGCAATACAAAATAGGTATTAGGCTTCCACCTCGAAGTCGGAAATGTATTAAAATACTCACGCTGGTCCATAATTGCAAATGTAAAACTTTCTGTAGGGAAAAGATTTATCAGCTGTACAGAAATACGTATATCCACATCCTACATATTCTGAATTCCACCAAACCATCTTTATAAAATAAATAAATTACTTAAATATATCTTCAACTTATCTTAATAAATGTTATCATTGTATAAAAGGAAACCAAGAAGCTGTAGGCGTTGTCTGTGGACATTTTCATTGCAGAATAATTGATATAGAAGTCACTAGACTGATAAACAAATTCAGCTCTTTATTGTCAAGACAGATGTCGAGAATCAGAGAGCCATACTATCTCACTGTTTGAATAAGTATATGTATTTCATTCAACTTTTGCTGATAATAAATTTCTAAACCTGTTTGTTTTTGAAAACAACAAATTAATAACATTTACCTGAGTATAATGTCCAGAAGCTGTATTCTTGCAACATTTACCATAAGTATATTCCTCATGTTCATCCCACCAACTTTTCAATGCTTGTCCCCAAGACGGAGTACCCGGAATGTAACCACTTGCCATGTTTAGAAAGAGATTTTGACCAACTGCCCATCGAGCTAAAAGTCCCTTAATAATTACTAGAAAAGATGTATTTTACACTTACTATCAGCTACTCGTACATGCTTATAAATAGTTGTATCGGCTATTTTTTGAGCGCTTTCTGCCAAAGTCTTATCCCATTTCTAAAAAAAATATAGAATTGTACCTAATGCATGATTGATTTTGGTAGATTAGGTACCATTTGTTTCAAATTTATACCACAAGGCTGATCAACTACTACGTTATTCGTTATAAGTGATCTGTAACTATTGTGGAGTTCCACTATTTGTTTCTCGTCCTCTTCCGAAACTCCTTTGGCTGTAAAGTATTTTTTAGAAAAAATAGAGTGAAACAATTATTCTTACTCAAAATCGTATTGTTCGTTGTCAAACAATGACCCAGAATAACTGGCAAAAACAGCAAAGAATATAGCTTCATGGTAAATTGAAAATTCACAAGGAATACTAAAATGTATAAAAAGTTTGGGATATTTATACAAAAATACCTAATAAAATAATATTATAAGACAGAGGTCAATAAAAAAAATCAAAATATGTATGTTTTTCCTAGTATTTTGATTTTGAATAATGTAAATAGAGGATTTTTTTCAGACAATAATTATTATTGTATACTTACGTTTGTTATCATTATCAGGTAGATTATTAAGTAAATAATAGTAGATTATACCACGAGTCAATAATGATAGATATTATTCCCGAGGATTATTACGAACTGAGCCGGGTTAGCGGCGAGGGAGTAACATTCCGACCGAGGGAATAATAGCCATTATTGCGAGTAGTATACTCTACTTTATTTACGACAAATTAATTTATTTGAGATTTTCAATGAACAAATTTCATACGTCTCATAATTTTCAATACAAATCCACAAGCACTTCACGTTTGACACTGACACTTTTGTGGAATAATGACCATTAATCCCGCTACTCGTCATTAATCCCTGGAGGAATAAAACATGTTATTATACTGCCAAAATCACAAATATAATACGCACATTATACATTAGTCGTAAATAAAAATTAATTTTCCGTTAAACTAGGAAACCATTAAAACCTTTATTTCAGTGGTGTTTCCGGACCCGTATTCATAGGAACTCTTTAAGTTTGTAACATCATTTTCTGAAACACCCTCTGTATTTGGGACAACTTAGATGTTTACAGGATTTGTTGAAAATTGAGACACTTTCCAGGCAAAATATACTATATTAAACAAATTAGCACTATAATGACATATGAATTTATTTATCATTAACACAAGTCTTCGCATCCTGATTTTCCAACTTTATACGGAAACTGTCTCTTGAAGTTTCCCCTAAAATAAACATCACATTTTGAGAAAACAACAAAATTGCGAAAATTAATTGCTACTTACGCTGGTCCGTAATTACAAACGTATAATTTTCGATACTTGAAGAAATCGTCGGTAGCAAAATATGTATAGCCGCAACCCACATACTCGGTGTTAGCCCATACAAGCTGAAAAAGAGTTGCATATATTGACAAGCTACAAATCAAAATTTCCTTATACATAAGTATATTGTCAGTATTTATGGGATAACGCAGAGCTTACACGTTACATGATCGACTTTGGACAAAAAGTCATTGAAAAAAAAAACTCCAAGAGAAAAATTTTCCGAGACATAATCAACCATACATCAAACACCTAGACAGTTATCTATTTTCGTCTGAATGTTTTTTGGCATATAGTGTGCCTTTTTTGTAGGTTGGGAGAATAAGTATTATTTTTTGAAAACTAATATTGTCACAACCCCTATACGTCTCGTGCTGAGATGTCACAACAGGACCGTGACCTGGGGGCGTAGGTGGGGTTCAGGTAGAGAAAAACTCGCTTGGTATAGGTACAATGAGAAATTTATTAAATATATAGAATTTACCCTATGAATATTAACATGTACATGTACTACTTAAACCACTCTGTAGACTGTAGATCATGTATACGTGGCGTGACTGAAGACTGAAGCTGGGTTTGAGACAGGTCCAGAAGGGCGTTTCCCTATAAAGGTAGTTTGCATTGGGAGGAGACTTAGCTAGAGGGGTTTTTCCCAACTGAGGTACATTACACTAGCCTTAGTTTGCCGGTAATAGATCTCAGCGCGGTATTTATACCAATGTCATGCTGACTCGTCGACACACTTTGATAAAATTGATGTACAGAGTGGTATTTACTTAAGTAGTTGACAATATCAAGTAGTATAAATTTGGCATTGTTTTTTAAGATTATAGGAGACCTAGACAAAAGCCTGGAGAATTTTGTTTACCTATGATAATATGGTCGCCACCAAGAAGGGAAAGTTTGAGCAGGATCTCTATTCTTCTGTTCCAAGTTTCTCTTCACATGCAAAATTGTATCTTCTCCAAAAGCTTTATTCTTCTCCAATTTCCACAACATCTTAAATCTTCTATGACTCTGGTTTCCAACTCTCTCAGTTTGCCAGGTTCCAAGGTGGTAATTTTTCCATTTGGTTTCTTATTTGTAGTTAGGTTTCCATGTTATTTCTTAAGCATCAAGATTTCTCCCTTTTCGTTTTTCAAATATTTTTGTCCAAGGATCTTTGTCTCAAAATTGTTCTATCTTCCATCATGGTTTCTCTCTTCCAATATTTTTTGTCTTTCTTGTTTGTTGTGGCAAATTTTCTCCTGACTCCTTCTAACCGCAATGGAATGCCAACCAATGGGTCTGATAGACCTTCCATATTTTCACTATCATGTTTTTTTGAAATTTTGCTTCTTTTTGTGGGTAAAACCCTGTAGGTGTTTTTACTTGGCTTCTTACCATCTCGTATCTTCACTGTTTTAGTTAAATTCTAATCGTTATTCTTATCATTCTGTGATCGCTTTCTATAGACAATCTGTTGATAATTTGTAGTCATTTTAGTCTTTTACCGGTGATAAAGTAATTCAATAAAATTATTGGATGTTTATCATGCAAAATTTTGTCTTTTCCAGAAGGTTTATTCTTCTCCAATTTCCCCAATATCTTCAATCTCCTCTGATCCTGGCTTCCAATTTTCTCATTGGTAAGTTTGCCAGGTTCTGCAGATATAATTCCTCTACTAATTTTGCCATTTGTTCTAGCCGCCGCACTGATACTAACGCTGAAAAGTTATAGTGAAATCTATTGGTGAGTTCAGTGCGCACTGAGTGTATTCGTGTCCTTTTCTACTAGCATGTAAAAGAAAGCGACGGAAATACATATTGTTTGCACTAATTCTACCAATGGTTTTCGCCATCAGCCTAGGCAGTATCAAGTTTTGGGAACCCGACACACGTCAATCGGTAAGCGAAGTGGCAACAACGGGTCGTGCGGTGCTACTTTTTCTTCATAAAGATTTGTTCTGTTTGTTATACATTTTTGTTCAGTAAATCCAGTAGATTATTATATATATTTGCATTATAAAGTCAGTAGTTTTTATAGATAGCAGCGGCGGGATGGCCTACGTGCTTGTAGGTACAAACGAAAAAAAAAAAAAAAGCCAAGTGACTCATTTTCTTTGTTGGCGAAAAGACCCTGTTAGATAGTGATTCGTTTAATAGTTTAATGTGTTAAGTCTGGACTAATTATAACGAAATTACATGTATAAGTATTGTTCGTCGTTTTTACTCAGACGCTTTTTGTATGAAGAGCGAGGAAATGTAGCACATAGCAAAAACAGGTGTGACGTCAGGTGACCATTGGCGTTCTAATGTAGAGAGCTACGAGCTCACATTCCTTTGGAGTATCAGATTAAAATTGACGGACTGTACTTCATACTATCTTTATGCGCGAATTAATTAACGTATAATATTGGGTCCGTTCAAGCCCAACAGGAAATCGTACAGTGTATCGTCAAGATTCTGCGCAAAGCCTAGAACTTGTGCGTAGAATCCGAAATTCGTATACTGAGTGGTCTCGAAACCGTTCATGGGACGGTTTTTGGCGTGTTAGAACAGACCTAATAATTCTTCGCATATTGAACCTCGGACTGCTGATATTTTTTTTTGTCACGTACGTGTCAGTTATATTATTAAATTCTATGTTATTATTATACTAATAATTCTCCTTTCCAATGTTAAATATAAGCGTACGCCACTGTAAAAGCCCACAATATTATAAAGATGCTGAGTAAGCGGTATTGCCTGGAAAAGTACCGTCATATCAAGGTTTCGCCCACATGAATGCTACCGTCAGCAATATTTTACTATAAATATGGCGCGCAGAGCCTTCTCTGATCATTCCTTTGTATTGTAGCTTAGACTATAGCAATTTAGAATCGAAGATTCTTTTGTTCTCGGCTTTCGACGCAGCAATTTAGAGTCTAGTATTTTTTGTTGTACCTTCTTAGTTTTTCATAAAATAAATACTTTTTAAAAACAAGATTCACTGTAATTGGCGCAGTTTTGAAGAAAAGAGGCAGCAAGACCCAACGTACAAAGTTGAAGTGATACAGTTTCAAGCATCGTGCTTTAAAAACCAAAATGTTCCTGGCAGCTTTCATCGTCCTCCTCATAGGAATTTCCAGTAACGCTTACACGATAACTTTATTAAGAAATCCTATTGTACCGATTTCTGTAGGAACCACTTACATCACAACACAACATAAAACAGACATTTTAAAAATGTCAATTCACCTAAATGACGATCGACCTGTAGTATATAGACCATACCGCCCCTCTCACAATGAACGGCAAGTTGTAAGAGGCATTGTTGATGATTTGCTGAAAAATAATATTATACGAAAATCTGACTCTGCCTACGCAAGTCCAATTCTTCAAAAGAAAAATGGAGAGCAGAGGATGTGTGTGGACTATAGGGCACTGAACGCTAAGACATTTAAGGATAGGTACCCTCTTCCACGAATTTCTAGAGAACCTCAAGGGATGTAAATACTTTAGTAGCTTAGATTTAACCAGCGGATATCACCAGTTGCAACTAGAAGAGTCTTCAATTCCAGAAACGGGTTCCTTAACGCCAAATGGGCACTACGAATATTTTAGAGTCCCCTTTGGTCTGTGTAATGCACCCTCAGTATTCGTCAGGGTCATAAACAAAGTACTGGGTAATCTTAGATACAGCTAAGCATTGGTATATATGGATAACATCCTGCTACCATCATCAACCTTTGAAAATAGATTGTCAAATCTGAGAGAAGTTCTCGAGTCGATGAGAAATGCTGGTCTCATGCTAAGGATATCCAAGTGCCAGTTTTTCATGGAAAGGGTTGATTACTTGGACCATGAAATATCCAGTCAGGGAGTTCAACTAGGAAAATGCAAAACTGAGGCAGTAGAAAAGTTTCCTGTGTCAACGGATGTTCGCATGGTGCGGCAGTTCTTAGGACTTGCCAGTTACTTCAGGAAATACATTAAAGCTTTTGCAATGATAGCAAGACCTTTAACTGTCTTAACGAAAAAAGACATGATGTTTACATGGGGTGACGAACAACGCATGCTTCCGAAACCCTAAAGAGTAAACTTATACCACGACCATTGCTAACCATCTACGATCCTGATGTGAAGATTGTCATGTACTTCTCAAAACAAACAACCAAAGAGGAGCAACGTTACCACTCCTAAGTTGAAAACCATGGCTGTAGTGTTCTCGTTAAAATCATTTCGAATTTACCTGATAGGCATTGAGTTTAAGGTTGTCACTGACTGCAATGCCCTAGTAATGACATTGTCAAAACGAGATTTGATTCCAAGAATCAGCAGGTGGTGGTTAAGCATACAGGTATTTAAATTCAACGTTGAATATCGACCAGCGCATGTCACATGCAGATGCCTTAAGTAGAAATCCAATATCTTCAGATATTGCTGTATAGTAAACTTATACAACACAGATTGGGTGTTAAGTGCTCAACTGACCGACGAAAGGTGTAAATATTTAATTGAAGTTCTAAAAAAAAAACACCTAGCGACGAGGAGAACAAGGACCTTCACAAGAAATTTTGCTTAATGGAGAACCGGCTGTAAAAGAACACCGAAGATGGTTAAAAGTGGGTAACTCCAAAAGCTGCCTGAAGACAAGTAGTTTCACATTTTCATGATAGGGAAGGTCACATGGGTCTTGATAAAACGCTATCCACAATATTGAAGTCCTACTGGTTCCCAGGTATGCGTCGATATGTCAAGAAATACATATCATACTGCCTTCCATGTCTATAACAAGGAGCCAGGTGGTAAGAAGCCGGAAGTTTTACACCCCATAGAAAAAATTGCTGTGCCAATGGATACTATTCACGTGGACCACTTGGACCTATTTGCGAAATCCAAAAGGAAAAATGTGTATCTGATTGTAGTAGTGAAAGCGTTTACGAAATTTGTTTACGTGAAAGCGGTTCAGTCAACGAAGACTAAATCATTAATAAATTTCATGGATTGATAATTTTGGGGTACCAAGGAAAATTATTTCTGATAGGGGCAGTAAAAAGTTCCAAAGTACTGTCAGAGATTTAATATTAAACACGCACGAAACACAACTGCCACCCCAAAAGCGAAGTCACCTCACTTAACACGCGTCTTGGAAACTGGACAGAAATTGGAGGGGACGAATGTTTTTTCAAGTTAATGAAGGGTTGGAACAAGGTTTTCCCTAATTTAAAAAACCAAAGCTCACATTCATACCAAAAATTCTTACTTGTGTGTAATGTCCAGTCATCCTAGGGCCCTTTCTGCAACATTTACCAAAAGTGTAATCTTCGTGTTCGTCAAACCAACTCTGAATGGCCGTATCCCAATCGGATTCATTGCTCGGGGCAGTTGATTTCTTTATGTACAAGTTTTGACCCACAGCGTACCATCTATCTGAAATAAAAACAATATTTTGTATCGATTTAAAATTAAAAGTGGAAATATTTACCATCTGTAACTTGTTGGTGAGCAAATATGCAAGAATTTGCGATTTCCTGGGCTTCAGCAGCTAAATCTTCATCGTATTTCTTCAAAAAAAAATTTTTTTGGTAGAGTGGCTTTCAGATAATTATTAAAAAACTTACTAGTCGCTTAAGATTAACTCCTCTGGGCTGTCCTTCAATTTCACCATTTGCAATTTGCATCCTCAATTCGTTGTGTTTGTCAACGATTATTTCAGCTTCAGCTTCTGTGACTTTTCTTACTAATAAGAAATATTATTTGGTTAACAGGTGAATGTAGCTATTTCTATAACAAGGGGGCAAAGTGCATCTTTTTCACTACTGGTATCATAATAATGATAAAAATTACACGAAATATTATCAAATATACAACATAATGATTCATGAGCAACACCAGTAGCGACGTATTTTACAATAATTATATAATTCCATTAATTCCCAAATAAACGAGTAGTTTTGCGATAAAAACCGTTCATTTATTTAATGACAAAATGACAAAAACATGAAACATGCATTATAGAAATAAAATAATGCATTTGAAGCATAGTTTTTCATTCAAGGATTTTATCTGTAATTGTGTAATTTTGTTGGAACGTTATTTATGTCATTTCATTCGTCACGAAAATTTGATAAAATTTATGAATTTGATAGAGGTTGTGTCCAAAAATAATGGGTTGAGGCAAATTTTTCGATATATTTGATAGTATTGAATAATATCGCTCCTCAATTTATCCTCGTTGAGATCTTGAATTAAAGGTTGATTATATTTCCAAGTTCATGGGAAATCTAGAGAAAAAGTTGATGTTCTGTATCCTATCTCTCTTCCGAGTATCGCACGCAAAGGTGTTACAACTACCATCTCCTGGATGTAGGCATCTCCAAACTTTCCTGTTGCTAACCAGCCCACCACTATTTTAACTGTACTGTCCTTTTCACCACATCCACTACCCTCGTTTCTTGTCCTAAACTCTTCTCTTGGTCTTGGGGTATCTCTTTTCGAAACTGGGGAACAGTGTTCTCACGAGAACAATTGCTCTGTATTTGATAGTGTTATGGAAATATAGGCAAATGTGGACGACTAAGACAGAATCTTCGTTCTCAAAATTGTAATTTCGGAGATCTGCGAGATAATTTGGTTAGAGATAGGATTGTATGTGGAATAGAGAACACCAAAGTAAGAGATAGGTTGCTAAGAGAGCCTCAATTAGATTTGACAAAATATGTGAATATCTGTAGAGCGTCGGAGTTAGCTGAACTTCAATCAGAAAAGCTAGAAATTGAGACAAATGTTAATATTGTAGACAAAGCACAAAAATCAGGACAATACAGAGAACTATTTCACAAAAAGATCAATATGAAGCCCGAAATCAAAGTGGAAATAGCTTTAGAACAAACTCAGAAAATAGAGTGGCAATTGTGGATATTTTCATGGTTCAAGATGTCCCGCATATAGAAGACAATGTAGAGCATGTAACAAGTCTGGTTATTTTCAAAAGTACTGTCGTGAAAAAAGAAACATGACTCAAAATGTATATTCAGTAGAAGCTGATGATGAAGACCAGGAAATGTTTATAGGCACAGTTCAGAAAGTAGGACAAGTAGGTTTAGTTGGCTGAATGCAAAAAGTAATGGTCAACAATAAGGAAATTTGTTTCAAAATTGACACTGGTGCTGATCTTATTGTTTTGAACTTGAGAACTGCTAAAGAACTTAATGCTGAAATTCAGTCATCCAATACAAAGCTATCGAACTATAATGGGTGTTTATAGACAAACTACACTTATTTGTGAAACTAATAATAAAAAACACAATGTTGTGTTCATTGTAGTCAACTTTAATTGCATAATTGGTCTTCCATTTATTGAGATGTTTAATCTGCTAAAAAGAGTAGGATCGGTAGAACAGGAAAACAAATATGTGATTGATAATCTAGTAAAAAAATACGAGTATATTTTTCGAAGCATTGGTGAATTGACAAATTCATATAAAATTCAGTTGAAGAAAAAGGTAGAGCCAGTTGTAGAACCTCCAAGAAAAATTGCAATCAGCCTTTAACAGTCAGTTAAAAGTGAGCTAGATATAATGGCGAAAATTGGCGTTTTGAGAAAAGTGACTGAACCAACTGAGTGGTGCAGTTCTATAGTCCTTGTAAAAAAGCAAGACAATAGTTTTCGAATTTGTTTAGACCTACAAAATCTGAATAAAGCCATAGTACGTGAGTGGTATCAGCTTCCAACTTTTGAGGAAATTGCATCCAAGATGGAAGGGGCAAATATTTTTTCAATACTGGATGGCAATAAGGGCTTTTATCAGATCAAGTTGCATGAAGTAAGTGAAATACTTACAACATTTAAGGCTGGGTGTTATGGGCGATATTGTTATAGGAGAATGCCTTATGGACTATGCTCTGTACCGGAAGTTTTTCATCGTACATTCAAGAATATTTTTGATGGACTTCCAGGAGTGGAAATTTATAAAGATGATGTTATAGTCTGGGCAGCAAATAAAGAAGAACACGCCTGAAATTATATTTTGTTTATTCCAAATGTCCGAACTTTACAAATGTGTAGAGATTTTTGTGTTGTTATCGCCATAGTTTGTAGACCAAATCGTAAACTCTTCGTTCCAGATTTATTGATATTTCATCTGATCATCCAATGATAACAAAATGCCGAGAAACTTCGGCATTTTGATTTTATGTCCAAAGTACCTAGGTATATGTATTCGGATATTGTTTTCAATAAGACCTAATTCCTGATAATTCTTACATTTTCATACGATTACGTGGAATTAATTATGAAATCTGAATAAAATAAATTTGACTTACCATAAATTTTACATTCTCTAGCCAAACTCAAGCTGACCAGGAACAAAACCAAAATCGTCACTCTAACGTCCATTTTCTATGAAGGCTGAAAACCAATTGAACCCTGTCGAAGTGAAGAATCAAAAAAGCAAATTGAATTTAACTTTTATACTAATTAAAACAGTTAATAGTGAATTTTGCACGTTATTTTTTTTTACAACTGCAATTAGCTCAGTTGTTGTTTGCTTTTAAATAGCCTTTTTGAACGTGCTTTGAACAATATTTGCTGGGTAGGTATATTAATTTTTCATTATTCATAGGGGTATACGACTACATAAACCTTTTAATCTGACTTAGTTAATTAACATTTCAATAATCCTTTGACATTTATTATTATGTAATTAAAATCACAATGAGAATTTCAGTTAAAAGTATAAGCCAAAATTACGGTTAAAACAATAATAACAATTAAACGTGTCAACAAATAACGATTTAAAAGAACCGATAAAAATTGCAATGGAAAATTCACTTACCCTGATAACAAGTGACGCACATTAACACTGAAAAATCTTTTATTGTCTTGAAGAATCGTTTAATTACACTTTTATTGCAAATAATAATGGCATGGAAGTTTTTTTCCACGAGGTTGCAATAATATTTACCGCCATTGTATACAATACCTGTATTGTTAGGCACTATCCAATGTCAAGTAGTTGATTTTTATTTAATTCAGGAAGTTATGTAGGTTGAAATAAAATTAATTGAATAACAATGATTTACAAAATATTATCATTACTATACAGTCTAAAATCGCAATGTATAATACGTTTTAGCCTGATGTACATATAAGTGAATCTAATTTTCCAAATTGTTTGAATTAAAAAGACATAAAATTTAGTTGGGTGTAGGAGCAAAAATTAGGTAAAGTACAAACTACTTTGTATCATGCAACAAAAAATATATAGGACTGAAAGTATTGTAGTGTGCCATAGTTGTCCTGTATTTTCAATTCTCTATACGACTTCAAAATGATAGGTACTTGGGATCCTTGTTTCGAACTATATTGTTCATATAGAAACATAGAAAAACTTGATATCTGAATATTTTTGAAGATAATTTTCCAAAAAATATGAAAAACCATCCCTCTAATTATTGTATCATAGATTGGAAACTGAAATGGTCAGAGAATTCTAGAGAACGGCTAAAATCCCTGAAAGTATCAGCTCATTTCCTCATATGGTTCGAAAGATGGTTAAAATCCCGTAAGGAAAGAGGGGGAAATCTCAAAGTTTTTCAAGTTTTCCTCTGCTCTTCTTTTAAACATTACAGGACTACAATTCTGAAAATTTCAGCTCATTGGGGTGTTTCGAGGGGCAATATATCAATTTTTCTGAATGCCTTTTTTCATAGAATACGTCTCCAAATCTCAGAATAATTCCTTGTGTGGAGTTTAGGGGGCCCCAAAGGCCCATTAAAACACAAAATCTCACCAAACATTTTTTTTTAAATTTCATTGTTTTAGGTACCTTAAGATTTAGATTTTGGAAAACTTTGAAAGGTCAAAACTTTTTTTCTATTATAGATAGAAAGCTAAAACTTTCAGCGATTCTTATTCCACTACAGGAATACAATCCCTGGAAATATCATCTCATTTGGACTTATAGTTCCAGAAATAAAATCGTGTTAAGCAATTTTGGGTGATTTATCAATTTTTCAATTTTTTTGAGTGCCTTCATTCATCAAATACAGTTTCAAATCTCAGAATAATTTCGTGTATGGAGTTTGGGGGATCCCAAAGGACCATTAGGACCCAAATTCTCAACAATTTTTTTTTTTAATTTTCTCGTTTTAGTACTGAGCTACCTTATGATTTAGATTTTGGAAAATTTTCAAAGGTCAGAACTTTTTTTCTATTATAGATAGATACAAAGCTAAAAATTTTCAGCGATTTCTATTCCAATAGAGGACTACAATTCCTGAAAATTTCAGCTCATTTGGACTTATAGTTCCAGAAATAAAATCGTGTTCAGCAATTTCGGATGATTTATCAATTTCTCAATTTTTCTAACTGCCTTTTCTCATAGAAACCGGCTCTAAATCTCAGAATAATTTAGTGTATGGAGTTTGGGGTTCCCAAAGGTCCATTAAGACATAAAATCTCAACGAAAAAAATTTTGAAATTTTATCGTTTTAGTACTGAGGTAGCTATCTTATGATTTAGTAGATTTTGGAAAACTTTGAAAGGTCATAACTTTTTTTCTATCATAGATAGAAAGCTGAAATTTTCAGCGATTCTTATTCCAGTAAAGTTCTACAACCCCCAATAGTTCCAGAAATAAAATCGTGTTAAGCAATTTGGGGTGATATAATAATTTTTCAATTTTCCTGAGTCCCTTTTCTCATAGAATCCGGCTCCAAATCTCAGAATAATTTAGTATATGGAGTTAGGAGGGTCCCAGAGGACTATTAAGACACAAAATCTCAACAAATTTTTTTTTTTAATTTCATGGTTTTAGTATCAGTACTGAGGTAGCTACCTTTTTTTTGATTTAGATTTTGGAAAGTTTTGAAAGGTCATAACTATTTTTCTATTATGTAGATAGAAAGCTGAAATTTTTACTGATTCTTATTCCAGTAGAGGACTACAATCTCTGAAAATTTCAGTTAAACACCTAACAGTACATATTACATAAATTCTTACTTGTAATATTCATGTAAGTAGTAACAAGAAAATAAATATACCTACATTATAGAACTCCAAAGAGAAGTTCAGATTTTTTTCTTTCTTTCTAGGTAACAACTTAACTTAAACTACAAAAAAGGATAATACTTTTAAAACATAAGAGTACATATTGCGTAAATTTTTTACTTGTGAAATTCATGTGAAGAAAAATTAACAGAAATACATTTTATATAGACAATTATAAAAGTAATTTAAGAAGATATTTATCTAACAGAATGGACAGAAATGTTCTGGGTAAATAACAATCTAAACGTAAACCTAAACTAAAACCTATAGCTATATACTTTTATAATGGAAAGTAAATCATTGCTCAAAATATAATAAAATATAAAAAAAAAATACCCTTTCTGTTAAGATTTATTTAGTTTTTTAGTAGTCTCGTTTGTCATGTAGACTTGATTCGAGAATTGTAGGTACTTTAACAATTACAGTCGTGAAAAGTACACGTTTTCGGTTTTACAGGTCTTCTTAGGCGTAAACCAATGGTCCTGTATTGAGACAGGATGTGGTTCAAAGTTGGAACTTGGTTTATTAGGTTTGATGGGGCTGAATTTTAAGTATTTTGGGGCGTTAGGTAGATCATCTTCATCTGAAGAATGATCAGTTCTTTGGAGAACAAAACTTTGAGCATCAGCTTCAGAAGGGTTTGGTGAATGACATTCAATGGAATGTGTTGGTGATGATCGTTCAAAGGAACTAAGAAGTACTTCAGTACTTTGAGGGTTTGTTTGGGTGTGATTTACTTGATCAAGAGGGTTACTTTCTTCCTCAGATAAATCTTTATCCAGAACATCTGGATAGTCAATAGAATCATTATCCGACTCGGAGACATAGTGATGCCGCGAGACTCGAGACTAGTCTCGTCTCGACTTTCCGACTTCAACTCGTGAAGTCTCGACGAGACGAGACCAGATTCGGCGAGAGTCTCGTGTAGTCTCGAGTCTCGAGATTACACTTAAAATTTTTCTTTCATAGGTTTATTATTGGACTATTCTGGGCTATTTGAATATGAAATCAGTAAATTAAATATCAGGGTTACTCTTTACTGTGATTTTTCACTAATTGCTTTTTCACTGTGGCAGTTTGGACTTCCGTTATAATATAAAAACAAAAACCATAAATACAGGGTGTCCGAAAAATAACGTAAAAATTCTCCACATAGTAGAGGACCCTTTGAGAAACCTTAGAAAAATAATTAAATTTAAAAATCCTTCTCCGGCATTATTCTTGGTAATATGAAGAGGTAGATGTGAAAATTCTCCTTCGAATTCTTCAGGTAGTTACATGGGTATTTAATTTAATTCTCTGACATATTGTCAACGGGATATTTTCAGTGTTGCCAATTTTAATAAATAATAAAATGCAAATAACTTTCTTAAGAATGCGACTAAATTTTTTAAAGTATTTTTCTGGGGTTCCTTGTAGGGTCCTCCACCACGTAGAGAAGAGTTTTTACGCTATTTTTTGGACACCCTGTATAACTCGAGACGAGACGAGACTTTGGTACTCGAGACCGAGACTAAATCACGGTCTCGTCTCGAGATGTCGAGACGAGACGAAACCAACCCTAAGTCTCGTCTCGCGGCACCACTACGGAGACATCATGTAGGGAGTTCGTTGTCCAGGGGAGCAGGTCAGATCATTGACGTGAATACTGACCAGCCTTTACTCTGCCTCTTAAAATTGTGTAAACAAGTGAACTGTCTTTTTTGACAACTTCGAAAGGACCTGACCAAACTGTGCCAAAGGGATCTCTGAGTTGCCTCATCTCTCGTACCGTACCATAACCTTATCACCAAGGTTGAAAGTTGAAAGTCACATTAGGGGATTTTGTCTTATCAGAATATTTAGCCTGATATCGGGTTGGATTGGCTTCGATTCAAAGAATACGTTCCCCAGGAGGTACTTGCTGTTGTTTCAAGCGAATGTTCCTATACATTGGGGTAAGCCACTCACCTGAGTCAGCTAATTCATAGCCTAAAAGAACTCTAGCCAGAGTCATATCCGTCGCCAAATTTTTTCTGGACCTTAAGGTTCTTAGGCCTTCGTCCAGAGAAACAAGTCCCATTTTTTCTCGGATTTTCCTATCAGTTAAATTCGTAAAACCTTTTTCAATTCTTGGTTCCCACGCTCTACAGGATTACTTTGCCGGTGGTGGATAGGGGAGTAGAAACGTTTGATTTTATATTTGTCGCAAAATTCACGGAATGTTTTACTAATGAATTGGGGTGTATTATCCGATATTATAGTTTTTGGACAACCAAACCTCGAAAAAACAGTATTTTTTAAAAAGCTAATAACATTCTGTGATTCAACTTGTGAAAATGCTTCGGCCTCTATCCAAACATCCTCAACACAAAGGATGTATTTTTTTCTACAAGAATTTTCATTATAAGGCCCTAGGATATCAATGGAAAGGATTTCGAAAGGACTTTTTGGTGTATGTGCTTCCAAAGGAGTTTGTTTTTGGATTTGCCTCTT